GTTACCATTTCAGCTTGACTTTGTCTTACGAGTTCTTGCTGGGCCGATCCAAGAACGATAGGAAAAAAAGATTTAGACTTAGGTAACCCGAGAAAAATTATTAGGCAGCCACGCTTCAACGGTTTCGCGATATTTTTAAGTGTGTATGAACAATTTTAAGCGCAACAATGCCGCCACGTTTTTTACTGTTGGGCCTCCGACAAAAACAAAATTCAATCTCGGCCTACAGGTATCTAAATTGAAAATCGAAAGGATGCTTTCATGATCCTAACGGATTCCCAATTCGAAATTATACTTTGATTTTTCCACCAGGGCCGGATACTACACATTTTCTATTTAACTAAAAAATTATGTGTGCATTGGGGCTTGGTGCATTCTCCGCCGGTGCTGCCACCGCCGTAGAATATCGTAAATAATGAATACATACAAATACACGGGTTTAAATGGCGAGTAAACGAAAAAATTATTATATAATTATTGTATAAAAGTGTTAGAAAGTATAATTTGTGGAAATTCTAAACAAAAAAATGAAAAGGTAAATATTTTTCTTTTTAATTTTTTGATTATGTAACGAGCACTTTGTTTACTCACTTGTTTCGTCGAACTGCTTGAATCCATTTTTGCTATTGATCAAATCGGTGTAAGAAATTATGAAGCTGTAAAATGTTGTTTCGGGAGAGTTGAATTACCGGGAAAGTTGAATTATTGAATGTTATTGCACCCAACAACGCTCTAATTACGCTCTCCTTTACGCGTTAACATTTTTTTGGGCAATTTTATTAACATTTGAAATTATCACAACACAAGACACTTTTTCACTTATTTTTTACTACCGGAAACAGCGTTACATCACACAAACCTCGTACCTGAGTGTTTTATAGTCTCAATACTTTAACGTAAAACGTAAAAGAACAGCAAAAACTGGGGATATTTTTCGACTTCTTCTTTTCCCTAATATCAATCTGTTAGAATTTAACTACTAAACTACTAACTACTATTTAGCAACTATCATTATAGGCCTTCTTTTTTTTATTGTAGATCTTCGTCAGTGTTTTCGTTTCTGCCTCATCACTGTTATTAATATTTTAACCGATAAATAGCTATAGGGCCCTAGTCCGATGCTGTATTAAGTTCGTTAACCATCGTCGGTCTTAGCGGTGCAGTTTCGGTAAGTGAATTCTAGACATTGATTGGTAATCGGTGGAAAAAATGCTGCTGCACTACCATGAACTGTCAATAAAGGGGCTCACTAAATAAGAGAGTATTAGAGATAGATTTTAGTCTGTCATCTACATGAAATTATAATTGAAAATCATTTTAATTCCTACAAGAGTTCTTTTCTTCTACAGGAATGCTATCAATGTATTTAATTGTTTTTCACCCATGCATTTTTGTAGTCACATCTTAGATTAGGGCGTCACTTGGTTTTCAATTCAAGAAGTAGTATATACGAGGGTTATCTTTTATATTTTGCATATAGAAGTAGAAAAAATCATTAGATAACTTTTAAACACTATTGTTTTTCTCATTACGAAGAGAAATGCATTTTTGGATTCGTTGGAACCAACTCTGAAAGCAGATATTCCACTCGCTTGTTAGTAGCTTCAAAATAGCGTTTTTGAAGACACTGACTGCATCTTCTGGGGATTGAAACCTTTGACCTTGGAAATTAAAAAAGTCGTTAGGACTTATGTCGGGACTGTATGGAGGATGGTCCAACAATTCGATGTTTTGGTGCTTTAAAAACTTGCATTGTCTTGGTGGAGGATCATTCGTCGTAGAGGGTTGGTTTTTCGAAACTCTGCAATTACTTCCGGCAAACAAATATACAGACCGGACCACCGTAGTAGTAACATAGGCAGAACCGGACGAATTAGCGTATACCCGTCCGCCGGATAAAAAGCGGGCGAAAAAATGCGATAAAATAAAAATAGGTAGATATGTGATAAGAATGTTTCAGAATTTGTATTTATTCGTGTTTTAATAGCCAAAACGAATACATAGATTCTCGCGACAGTTCGCGTGTAAAATTTATTTTTTAAGTAAAATAATGGATGTTTACGAAGTTCGTGAGAAAATTCAAATTGTAAAATGGTATTTCCAAAATAGGTCTTATCGGGATATACAAACAATTTTTCCACATACTTTTGTAAACAGGCCAATTCCATTTTCACCTACTGTATCAAGAGTTATTAATAATTTTGAAACACATGGATGCGTGTTCCCACAAAAACACAAAAAGCCTGATGTGTTGATTAATGAAGTGTTCATTTGTGCTACCGCGGATCAAAATCCCACGTTTTCAAGTAATCAAATTGCTGAGGTGGTTGTCCTGCCCACAATGCCCGTATTGTTCAAGAATATTTGAACAATACTTTTCCCAACCGTTTAATTAGTGGATATGGAACTATTTTGTGGCCCGTTAGATCACCAGATCTTTCTCCCAATGATTTATTTTTGTGGGGTTATGTAAAATCCAAAGTGTATGGCCATAAGAGGGCTAATAATCTGGATGAGCTTCAAGTAAAAATACGAGAGGCTTTCCAAACTATTAGCCCTAATATGTTAGCCAATGTCAGACGGGGATTTTACGACCGCCTAGGCTTCTGTCTAGCACAAGAAGATGGTCTTTTTGAACACTTCTTTTTTTTATTTAGAGTAATATTTTAGTTTTTTTTTTGGGTTTAGAGAATTTATTTATTTTTAGTTTTGGCTTGTAAACACACTCAAATAATAAATATTTAAGTATTTTCATTTTAAATGTTACCTTAAGTGAAGGTAAACACTTAAAATGAAAATAATAAATACCGACCCGTCCAAGCACAACTGCAACTGCGTACTGCCTGACCAGCCGACTAGCCGGCAGTGAATCTCGAGTACGAACGTAAATTGGGTAAACGTAAATTCGTCCGGCAACTTGCTATGTTACTAGTAGCCTGGTCTTCTCTGTATATGTACCAATCAGCAGTAACAGTTCTTTGATCTACAAGTAACAGTTCTTGCATAGGAATTGTTGCTACATAACCCGTTTTTGAGACAAATGTCCCACCATCTTTTTGGAAACACTTCGAAAGGATAACTTTCGTCGGTTTTGGTTCATCTCGGAGCACCAAAACAGGCGATTAACGTTTATTTTTGGGTTCATAAGAGTAAATTCAGGATTTATCACCACTGACAATACTGTATATATTTTTTGCATTTCCTGCGTTAAACCGGTGTAAAGATTTTTTGACACCAGCTAAAACTAATTGAAGGGGTGGCTGCAATAACCAGGCAGCTCCATTTGAATAAATTTGTGGGAAATTGAAAAAGAGCTGCTCGGTTCTTGCTGCAACCCCAGAGCAAGGCAGCTCCAACTAACATCGCCATTTATGTACTGTTATATTGAGAGAACTGATTGTTGCAGGAAACGATCGGCCATTTTTTTTTAAAGGTAATTAATAAAAATCTCACTTTCGAAAAAAAGTGGAGCTGCCTGGTTATTGCAGCTACCGCTTCAATTGCTTTCTGTACTTCCGTCGACAGATGCGGTATCCAATTCATGTAAGAAATTTGGAATTGAGGTCTTTCAAACGGCCAATGATGCTTCAGTTTCACGATATGTGGCATGTCGGTCTTCTTGGATCAGCTTACGTACAGCATCGACGTTTTTCTGGGTGACTGCCTTTGTTGGTGGACTTGTTCTTGAATCGTCGCTAAATCTAATCCGTCCGCGTTTAAATTCTCCATACCAACAAGAAATTGTCGACTGACGTGATGCTTAATTGCCAAAAACAGAAACCAACTCGGCAAGGCATTCTTGTTGAGACAACTGTCTTCGAAAATTGTAATAAATTATTGCGCGAAACTTTTCGACTGAGTCGTCAACTTCAAAAATTCAATTTATGTACAGCTTTAAACAAAGCGGTCTAAAATTTTGCAATAAAAGTGAACTTCTTTCATGAGGTGAGAAAACATTAATGACGGATGGTTGGAATCTTCGAATAGTTTTCACTTTTAAATAGAATGTGGCTGTTCTGTTTACGAAATCTAGTTTACTAATTTGCATTGAATCGTTGATATAAGGGTCAGTCTCATCAAACGCAGTTGTCCATGTCTCCTTCTCTTGTTTGTAATCGGTTGTAACTTTTTTCCGACATTTCAATTTAAACAGTGGAAAGGAAAAAAGAAGGCAAAAGTACGGCCAGGCAAAATAGCGGAGAATGCATACAAAGCTGCTTCACTTTGGAATTTATTGGCGGTTTTCGATTGTTTTCAAGGACCTATCAAGATCATGCCGGGTACTCTTGTTTCTTTGACTTTTTTTCCACTGATTTAATCACAAACTTATACGTCTCTTAGTTTTATAAAAGCCTCGCTTTATATAGACACATATTCGGACGTAAATATCAGTGAAAGCATGTCATTAGCATTAAACTTCTTCAGTTGACAGAAAGTAATGTGTCATTGCCAAATATTATCTGATGACTACCGAGATTACAGATAATCGACTCTGAGGATTTCATATATTATGTTGTTATATGTTGTTGTAATAATACTGTCGTAAAAGATTAGTAATACTAAGAAGGGTGCGATTTTGATCATTCCATTTGATAAAAATCGAATGTTAACAGACCAGATCAGCTTAAAGTCATGCTTTGATTTTGGTTAATTCGGAAAAAAGCGTCACAAGATGCTATGCAGTAGGTCCGAAGCAAAAAATTTGGCCTTCATTTCGGCCTTTTTGAGACGAATTAAGAAACACATTTTTTATCACACTTTCTACAAATTTCTTTCGGTGACTCGGTGAAAATTAATGATTTTAATAATACCAGTCGTAAATTAGAATCTTAGATCATTCTGAATTGAGATATTTCAATTGTATGTAATTTATCTATTTTTTTGCAACGAGTCCAACAATTTGACTTAGACGTCCAGACGATAGAACATAATATATGTCAGAAGTCAATGAAAGGTATGCATTAAATTCAGTTTTTTTCTATATTTTATAGTAAACTTGCCTGAAACCATCGAAGCCATCATCTGATCCATTAACTGTTAAAACAGGTGCTCGGGCATAAGCTTTTGCTACTCGTCTATTTCTTTCTAAAACGATGACTTTTGACCAGATCTCGTCGTCAATTTGTGTCCATTTGTCCAAAACTTCCTGTATGTGATCCTGAAACAATATAAATATTCATGCTACAGCAAATTCCATTTGGTAAATATTAGATTGCTTTGAAATTTTATTAGCAGGGAGTGGTGTTTATTACAGTAATTATGATCATGATCTCTCTCTATTACTAATAAAATGACGTTTGGCATAACTAATTTTTATAAGTACTTCAAGTTTTTTAGTACACCAAATTTAGATTTGCTGAATAGTCTAGTCAATTTTAATTTTTTTTTAGTAGATTAACTTTAAAATTGAACGATTAAAGTGTCATATTTCATGACTTTTAAAGGTTCAAGTTCAAGCCAAAGCTTCCATTAACACGATCAAGATATGGTTTTATGGTTTTTTGATAGTTGTTCGTAATGAAATGCTAATGATATGCTGATAATTTGGATTTAGTCATAAAAAATATTCATCGTCGTTAGAATATCTTTATTTTTCCGCTTGATATATTTTGCTACATTTTTTGGACTGTGGTCAATAATAGAGTTTTCACCGGCGAAAATTTCTCTTTTCTTTTTATTTTACCACATGCCCAATAAACTGTTCGTTTCGTTCCTTGTTAGCCTAATTTCCTACTGAAATTGCAAAAACGGTCTGCGCCACAACAACATTTAAGATTCAGACGGTATATTTTATCTTGACATTGTGAAAGTTTTCAATAATGAATGCTACTAACAAGACTATTTTTATAAGAATTAAATAATGTTCTTTTTCCTTGCGCTGTCGTTCAACTCGCAAGGAACATTTAGATTTGTTACATCAGAACTATATAAAACACAATTAGACCAAACGTTTTTATTCCTATTACGTACACTATTTGACTGAAGAGAAATGTTACGTAGTTTTGTGAGTGTTTTTTTTTCTTTGCTTTCTAATGATTTCTCAGTTGCTCTTCTGTATATAGAATAGCCACTATTTTTTTACACTTTTTTTAACTTTTTTTCATACATTTTATGAAAAAGTGTTACCATTACCTTTGTTATTTTTCTAAGCTACTTGAACACCCATAAAAAATACTTAAAAAATGGGCTTTCGACTTTTTTCCATACGTATAGTCATGAAAATTGATGATTTTTATCATGTCCCGCTATTATTTACTAACTAAAAGGTGTAGAAAAGAAAATATAGGCCATTGTAGTCTTACGAGAACAGTTATTGACGTAGGGAACGCTTTAACCTTCATCAAAAAGAGCTGTAAAACAAGGGGTCACAAAATTAATTTCCTCATAAATGCAAGGTACCTAAGCCCTCAATGGTGTATATATTCTTAATCTACATAAAATTTCCTATAAATGCTGACATTTTCATAATGTTATGACTATGATTACTGTCTTTCTAAGGCCTTTAAAAATGTATAACAAATAGCCACAAAATTGGCATTTTTTCGACTTTTTTATAGTCATGAAAAATTTCTACAAAAAACGAAATTTAAAAAAAATAATTACGTATACTATTTACTATTCTTTTGCATTCTATTAATTTCTTTGTGGTTCTTCTGTACAGAATAACTATTAATTTTCAACACGCCCTGGTACGTATACTAGAAGTTCGAAAATATTTATTCTCTTGCTAGCAGGAGCTATCGTAAAATATAACAAGTTAATTTCTTTGCGCAAACTGTGCCGCATTACGGAGCAAGAGTTATTATTTTCAGTGTTTAAGGCAACAACAAGGTTTTCCAAATATTTATGGATGTAAAAAGAGCATTAAGGAACAAAAACCAGATATAAGGAGGTTATAAGAACGGGCTTAGACGGGTGCCCATACAAAATAATAAGAAGTTATCTGTATAAATACTTTGTAAACATTTCGAATTTCCAACTGTTGCTTCCATGTTCTTAAATTGTAACAGAGCTATTAGAAGAGAGTTTTAAGTATTTTTTTATTGTCTTAAATTGGTAACTTAAAAATATTTAGTTTAAAAAAACTAGTCTGAAAAGCAGCTTGCAATTTGTAAAATGTTTAATAAGAAAGCTTTTTCGTGTTGTTGAAGGAGGGCAGGTGCGTTCATATAAGCTGCAATATAACTTAGCAGTGTCTCCCTAAGAGAGTATCAGAAATTCACTAAAAAATAACAGTTCGACAGTTCGTAGTTTTAGAGATTTGATTTAAAGTAGATTTTAATTTATCAGCCAAGTGGTGAAAAAATCGGTTTTTATTTTTTTTTCTCTCTGTATGTATTTTTTTGGCAAACTATGTATACTAAAAATTAAGCTTTTAAATAAAAAAGCTTAATTTTTTTTTTATATTTTAAAATTTCTAAAAATTTTCCCGGCCAAAATTGAGCATTTTTCACTTATTCCGAATTGAAAGATTTTTGGGCGTGGATCGATGCAGATTGATTAGTTAAAATTTTTAGTATACACAGTTTGCCAAAAAAATACATACAGAGAGAGAAAAAAAAATAAAAACCGATTTTTTCATATGAATGATGATGAATACATCATAATCATAAAAATGTGATAAATATTAGTAGTTTTCTTCTAAAAAGCTTTTTTTGCTACATCATTAGAAGTAGATTATTCTGTGGGACACCCTGTAGAGAATACACTTCAAACTATACATTAATTTGCATACTTGTTAACGCGAACCCAATAAAAAATCGATAAGCAATAACAAAATCATCGCATGTTTGAAGAAAAACAAGAAGCAGAGAAGGTCGTATTCCATTACTAAGCTTTGTATTAAAAGTTTAAAAATAAAAAGTAATAACAACTTAGTAAGAATTTAATTATAAAAAAAATAAAGAATAACATTCCCAACAAGTGGTGATACGAGTCAAATAGAGAACTACAACATTTGGTGGCAGCGACTACAAGATTGGTGACGACGGTGGTCCAATCCAGGATCACGACACCTGGCGTAGGACCCATCATTTCAGCCAGGATGATTCAGCTGAACGTTACTTTGCCCCGGGGAAGGCTGTTAATTTTAGAGATGATACTGATCGGTCGATTGGTCGGTTCTTCGGACCGCCACCGCAAACATTTTTCTAATGGGTTGTGATTTATTTTATTTTTAGTTCGTTTTTACGCTCGTAAACGGCGCTCCTTGAAGCCTTGACATTTTTACCACTGATGTGTGCGGTTTCTGCTTATTCTGAATACTTTTCCGCAAAGCCAGTCGACCTTTAGGAAAAGCAGAAGGAAAATCATTCTGCTTGGAAAATATTATATAAAAGTCACATCAAAATCAAATCTTACACGAGTTTTAAAAGTTGTTAAAAATAGGCTTAGTCTATTACTTTACAGCAGTATTTATAGGAAATTTTATGTACTTTTAGATAAAATAAAAATATTAGGGTTTAATTGCTTTGATTTTAATAGAAAATTGATTTCTTGAACCTTGTTTTTTGAGAATATTTTTCATGGTGGTTAAAACTTCGCCTACATCTAACACCGTACTCGTATATTTTCATATTCAACGCTTTCAACTTTTGATGTCCATTACTGTTCTCGTAAAACTACAATGGCCTAAATTTTCTTGTTCTACACCTTTTAATTAGTATAAATGACAGTAGTTTTTTCAAAATCGGTGACAGACCAAAATCGCTAATTTTAAATGGAAAAAAGTCGAAAATTCGTCCATTTCTTGGCTATTTTTTAACAGTTTCCTAGAGTCTTTAGAGAAGAATAATAAACCTGGTCATAAAGTTTTGAAAATTCCTGTGTTTGTAGGAAATTTTATGTACTTTTAGAAAATCGAAGACTATTATGGCTTAAATGTTTTGGTTTTATTAGAAAATATTTTTTTTTACTTTAAAGATGGTGATGTCAAGAAGATGGATAAAATAAATAAAATCTGTGATATATTGACCACGACATTAGTTTTAAAGATACCTACATAAACATACATGATTTAGTAGCTTATATTGTTCTGAAAAAAATCTCTCTACCTGAAAAAATCGGGCGTTTCAGAGATTAGGGTAAACAAACATTTTGAAAACTCCTGTTTGGGTTTTTTGAGCCACACAATGATTTAAGCTTAAGGATTCTTTATTTTGAAATCGCAGATAATAAACTTTGTATTTATTTGGAATATAATAGACCATAAAAATCTCAGCTTAAGTTAAAATTACTGATCGTATATACAGGGTGAGTCTTAAGTAAGTTCAAATATTATTAATATTGACTGATATTTTATTTTTAAATTTTTTAATATAGTTTTTTATTGAGGCTACTTTCTATGCCTTATTTGAAATGTATTGTAACATAGTAATTTGTAACATTCAGTGCTATTATTTAGTATTCTATGGGTATATTTATTAGGTACTCTTGATGATGGCCCAATACTTTCTTTTTTTTTTTTCTATTGCATAATCAAATATTGTGAAAAATGTGTTGACGATAACAAAACATTGTTCATGGACAGTTTTATTTTGAATAAATCATCTTCAAGTTAAATTGAATAAATAAAAATATTTTTATTTATCAAAATTATTATGCAAAACATTGTATTTTTTTTAAATAAAAATCATAATTTAGTATAATTTAAAAATTTAATTCTAATGATAGGATTTTCAGGATCAATCAGACCTTACCCTAATTAAATTTTAATGGTCGTATTCTTAATTTATAATAAATTGACTAAAACATTGTAAAACAACTTTTACTTTTTGGTTTGGTCTATTTCTAATGTATTCCTAATTACACTACACAAAAAATACTAATTTTTAGAGGTCAATAATCAGCAGGCAGAGATAGTTATATATTATAAACCATTCATTGTAATTTTTTATTACTTAATTGCCTATAATTTTAGGTGTTACTAGAAGCTAACTTTATAAAATAATGGAAGAAAATCGAAAGTTAAACTTATTTAAAATTTTATTACGAAATAATGAAATAATTTTTATAAAAACTCTTTTGTTTGAACCCATTATTTTAACAAAGTTCATCCACTTATGGCCAATACTGTACCTACTAGGTACGTTTTAGATTTTATGTAAAATACACAAAGTTTGGTGATTTTTCGCAAGATCTGGAATTTTTTGTGAAGTC